GTAGATGTCGGACAATGCCGGCGGCGTGCTGGACGACAAGCTCGACTGCGCGGTGGTGCTCATCGCATCTGCGTGTGTCGGTGTTGACTCGTCCTTGATCTCCATCTGTTGCCGAGTCGGGCCAAAGGCCTGGCCACGACTGCCTGATGAGTCGTTCTGCCCGCGAAACTTGCTCTTGGGACAAACTGCGTTTGGCGATGGCAGCACTGAAGCAAGCGCAACTTTGGAATTTGCCAGCGTTGCATCTGGGCTGAGCAGTTGCGCACACTGCTTTGGGTCGGCCAATATCTTCTTGACAGCGAAGTTGAAAACACTGTACCAGATCGTGCTCCAGGAGTCTTCCGCCGGAGTGCTGATCGTATCGCGTTGCTTCAAGTTGAGCAGTGTTTCAATCTCCATAATGTAGTTCGTCCCGTGCTCACAAAGGTACTGGATCACCAAGCGCAAGCATTTGGCACCTGTAGCCGCGAGATCTTCGAACGTGATCAGGTTCTTCTTGGCCTTGGCGTGGGTGTCATCTCCTTCACCATTGCCATTCGAGGTTGCGCCCGGGGCCGGCACCTCCATCATAGACAGCATCATGACAAGCATGTAACGGACCTTGGCGCAAACAAGGGCCTCAACAGCCTGCTCGTTGAGTGATGATGACGCCTGGGACTTCGTCGTCTTGGCCGCTGGAGTCACCGGAGTCGTCGGAATGTCAAGCGTCTCTGGCAGGCTACCTTTGTTCTCATGCATGGTCTCGGCGGTTTTTCTCAACCTTTCATGTACTGCGCCTGCGGCATCTGCAGCGACTGCCAGCACGTGCTCTGGAACTGGTTCTGCCACCACCGCCTCATGAACTTTGAGCAGAAATGCAGCTTCCCTGGGCAACGAATCCAAAACAGATTCTTCCTTGACATCTTTGGCCTTTGGTCGTCGTGGGCTTTTGCCAGTCTGTGGTGAGAATTGCGAGGCATCATGCCCCCGACGTTGCGGCGTTGTTGTCGTAGCAGCCAGCACCACAGCCGCCGTACCCACGAGAGACGCTTGGGCGGGCACAGTGTCGTCTGTTTCCAGCGCCTGTGCAATGCTGGACACGAAATCCGGCAGAGCATGCACGTCATTGTGGTACTGGCATCGTGTGGCTGATGCGTCCCACGTATCAGTGCCAGTACGACAGCTGCAGAACGATGACTTGAACTGGGCTATGGCCTTCCGCAGTGACTGATGCATGTACACGTTCGACGAATTGTTCTTGCGAAGAAACTCATTCGCAATGTGCAGCGAATCCTTGCTGGCCAGAATGTCCCGGGCAAGTGTTTCTGCGGACACGTGTCCGAACGTAGACGACGACTCCGGAACACCATCCTGCCATTGTGATTGCCTTGACAGCTGTTGGAGCACTGCGTCCATTCTCATGCCCTCCGTAATACCAGACTGCGATGTCTTTGCCGCGAAGACGTTCTTGAGATGAGCCTGCAGGACAGGCCGCAACTTTGACCATAGTGCAAAGGTTTTGCGATTGATGGTGACCTTGCAGTTCAGAGCGAACTCAAGCCCAAGACTGAGGCACTGTGAAAGCGCTTCACTGGCGTCCTTGAGCTGCTTGTTGTCGCTTTGCCGACAAATGTCGACTTGCTTCAGTGGCCCGTCTGGCAAACATCGTGCCAGACAACCCATCAAGTCGTCCAGCCACAATCGTGCACGTGTCATACCGTCTCCACCAAAGTCGTCGTCGTCCATCTCGATGTCGTCCTGCAATGTTGCTGCCTCACCATCTGCAAGAGGCCCGGCTGCAGCTTTGGCCTTTGCTTTCGACTTGGCTTTTGCCTTTGATTTTCCCTTGGCTTTTGCCTTCGGTGCCTTTGCTGGCTTCTCAGTTGCAGCCAAGTCAGGAACACGGGGGCGTTTCGTTCCGCTTGATGCCCCGACACCGTCAGATGCATGTGACGCCGCTCTTGCCGCGTCGGCAATGGCTTGGCTTTGAAGCAACTTCTCCACAAATATGGCACCGTAGACAGAGCAACACAACTTCTCTTCCACAAGCTTCATCAACGAGCTTTGCGGCCCAAAGCCTCTGCAGCACACGATGGCATGTAATCATGTTATTCATAAAACAACATGAAAGTATGAACCCCTGGATCGGCCACGCAGCTCACAATGTATGGAGGACGATGTTGTTGTTGCGTCGCCTGCACAGCCTGGCTCGAGGCTGACCCGTGCGTAGCGAGGGGCGCTCCGTCAGTCGTGCTGGTCGGATCCAGCAGTGGAACCTCAGGCGGGGCACCGGCCCTGGCACTATGACGTTGATTGTTTGATCAGGCAGCACACCGCCTCACCCTTACACTTACACCTTACAGCCTCACACCCAATGCACGCACTCAACAGTTGCGGCCAAAGCACACACAGTTTGCACAGTTCCAACAGGCAGTGACCCAGCAGCCACGCAGGTTGTCCCTTGAAGTGCGAATCCATGATGGTTGCGAAGGAATTCATCGATCCCACAACTGACTCGTGGCTTTTCAGATCCGAATGCAAGAAATCTGTTTCTTCAGCAAAGAAGCGGTCCCACTCAGCGAAAATGCCAAAGCTCACCAACTTGCGCCGCAATGCTTTGGAATTTTTGAATCCCAGCACACTGTATTTCTCCTGCGATCCGCAGCAAGCAAGACATGACTCGCACTGGACCCATGCTACTTACTGAGCCTAGCCACACCTCATCACATCAAAGCAATCCTTGTACTCGGACGAGTCAAGCCAGCTTGCGAACACGTCGTGGTACGAGTTCACAGACCTACTGGTAATCAGATTGCGATCGCAATAGGCACGCCACGCCTGCAAGGTTGTTCAGCATGAGCACGAGACAATGACAACAACAAACTCACATTGCAATCAACTCATCAATGCAACAAGTTGCACCTTGTCGACATCTTCGACACCTGTGACTAGCTCATGAAAGCTGATGCCCCCGCCGTGGTGAAAGTTGTTGTGAGTATCCTTGAGATACCTCGATTGCGGCGCGTAAAGTAAGCATTGCTGTCAGACTTCCAAAATGAATAGCTGTCGTCTGTCTGCAAAAATAATACAGCCTAGCAACGTCACCACGTCTCCAGGGGTTCGTGCGTGAAGCACACGGCACCCTTGCAAGCCTGCTTGAAGTGTGCTTTTCACTTGAGGGTTATCCGGAGCCTGCTCGTAGGCCGAGTAGAATGCCTCTGACCTAAGAGGCGAGTAGATTCTCATCACATTTGTTGCTGCTCTAGTCTAGCAACTGTGCTCCCACACGGTGCCCGCTGCCCCATGAATGTAGCAAGCAGTAAGCAGTAAGCAGTGAGTGATCAGTGACAAGGCTGTAAAACTGTAAGGCTGTGGCAGCGTTCCGTAAGTCACCGCCAGATAAGGACCGTTCGGCTTTTCCGGCCTGAAGTCCGGCACAAACTACTCTGTGACTCTGTGCAACTGTAGTCTGTCTCACAGACTTATAAATCATAGCCGCGTAGCCTGAATTAATTAGACTTTGCTACTCAGCCGGGGGTCGCCAAAAGCCAAGGTTCACCACGGCAGCCTTCAAGTATGCCGTGTTGCAGGACACCACGAGTGTAGCGTAGGCGAATTGATAGTTGTTTCCTCGCGTTCAGGGGATGACGGATGATTCCTTTGTTGCCGTCCGGCAGAAACCACGGGACCGTCGTTGTGGCGTTCTGGTCCACCTGCAAGATGGCAACTTGGAACTGACGACAACGCGACGACAATTCGACTGACTGACATGATTGTGATCGTGCCTGGTAAGTCTGAAAAACAGCATCCTGCAAAGGTCTGCCACTCAGACGCCCGAAACGCTCGGCCAATGAGCGTTGGCCGTAGATTGTGTCTGATGCTTCCCGCAACGCCACAGAGCCAATAACACCAGCTGCTGCTGATCCTGCTGATCCGGTGGTTGCCATTGGCACAGGTGCTGCCATAGCAACAGGCTGCTAGTCCCAGCACAGCCCTTGTTGATGCAACAATCACAGCAATCAGCAGTCACCTTGCCCGACTGGCGACACACACGCAACAGATCCTAATTACACACGAGCCAAAGCAGCAGTCAGTCAATCACAAGCTCAGCACGTTGCAAAGAGATTTAGTCAGAGTCATGTTCGTGTTGAATCGTGGCAGGAGATACACTCATACAAGCACAAGCACAAGCATAAATATCAGTTCAGTTCAACTGATTCAACCGCTGAATCGCGCGGTGCATGCTGATCGACTCACGGACTGACCAACAACACTTTCCGGCACTTCCGACCAAGGCTTTTCTCGGCCTTTGCGGATCTGTACAACTGTGCGATTTACAGACAAACTAAACTACCTGATCATGATTTGAATCATTGAGTTGAGTCATCATCGAATCGGGCCACTGAACCACTAGAATAGCCGCGCTGCCAAAATCCTTGCCAAACTGTCGAAATTTCGACTCGTGTGCGCGGCGCCAGGCGGTGCCTCTCACGTACAAGCATAACTAACACAAGTCCGAGCTAGTTAGCTCAAGTTAAATGATACAAATGTTAATGTTCAATGCTAAACCGACTAACTCTGACTCTTCTTTCTTACGGGCCTTCTTCTGCACACAGCCAATGGCGTACAGCATTGCTAGCCCCACCGCCACGCTGTGCATGCCATTGCCGGCCTGGTAATCGGTCGAGTCATGTTCGTCTCACAATCATGCTGCCACAAGGTGTCGCCGGCTCACGAAACTCACAGAACGTGCCTGTTGCATTTGTGCCGAACGTGAGCGTGTTGGAGCTGAGCTCGCATCGCACGTGAAGCTGCAAGCCGCCACACCAAACGACATTGTCTTGTCAATTGGGAATCCTTGGCTCATCAGCGCCTCTGTGGAAAGAAGCCAGCGGCCATGCGCGTCGGACCTCGCACCAAACCATGCTGCACAGAACACAAGTTAACACAACACAACACATCACGTGTGGTAACATTAACATACACACATACATATGTAAACATTGTAAACACTCAGATGCCTACCACAGAATACCAGCATTGCGGATCAGCGTGTGAAGTTTCGACCATCCGCTCATGGTAGCACTGAAGTTGGGATTTTGATTCAATGAATATGCACCGCCAGTCTTCCGTGTTCGGTACTCTGCCAGGAAATTGAACTCGACTGTCGTCAACGCACGCTCAAATGCCTTGCGAACAAGTTCAACATCATTCACGAGTGCATGCTTGAAGGCTTCCAGGCTGGCGATACCGCACCCATCTACTTTTGCTCGGCTTTCAGGTCGAGAGCATGCCCACATCAATTCTTCCCAAACGTCCTGGAAAACAAAAGCAATCAAATCAGGCATCATGATATGTTATCAGGTCAGATATGGTCCTCGGCAGGAGAACCAAAGTATGAATCCCAAGCAGGCTCCATCGCAGCCAGCTCCTGACAATACTGCAAGTGAGCATCCGAACACAGTCAATGTGAGTGTACAAATCAGTAACCCTGGCACACCCTGGCAATCCTGGTTGTACTCGCCAAACCTCACAGGCGCCCTGAACATCTCCACGAACACGTTGACTGGCGCAAGTGCAGCACCAGTCTTCCACTTATGGCGTAGAATGCAGTACTGTCTTGGTCTCGTTATAGGCATGCCATACATGTTGGGGTCAATCAGCGCCACGGATACAAAGTATATCGCTCCCAAGAAATGCTCCGAGGTTGATGCGTCGAAATTAATGACGTTCTCCTGGATTATCAGGGATTCCTGATAATCCCATCGTCGAGAAATCCAGCTGAGGAAGGCTTTCCACGTGACCCCCTGCTCGCGCATCATCAAACCTCGCTGACTGTAATCCGTGCATGGTGTCCCTGCAACATGTAAATCAGCTGCACGATCGACCTCACACATCTGCCCGTGCTTGTAGCACCATGCTTTTCTGATTGTTGCTTCGCCCCTGCGCATCAGCGGCAACAGTACTTCATTAATTGCCGTGTCGTTGGCTGCCAGGACATCCAGCTGTGCGGCAATATGGGGACGCCAGAAGTCATTCATATCCCCGAAGACATGCTGTGGACAATGTGGGTGACGAAGCAACTCTTCTCGGGCCTGCGCAGACCACTCAACCGCCGACATGTTGGCTGGCGCAGGGACATGAGATTTGTCCATGTTCAGCTCCGCGCAGATAGCTGTGCCCATCATGATGAAAGACGTAGCAGGAGTGTCAATGCCGGAAAATTCTGTAGACAGCGATGTTGCTCGCATGTCTTGTAGCAGTTGATACAAGTGCTCAGAATGGGCCGTGCGCTCCTGAGACACAGACTCACTGATGAACTGTACATCTGGGTCTGGGTCTGAGTCACATACATCCATCAAGTTGCAATCATGCTCACGACTCAGAGCTGCCATAGCTTGATCCACCACATGTTTGCAATTGCCTTGCTCGGCAACCGACCGACATATTCGCGCCACTCGCGCAGCATATGCCTTGTCACCATCAACGTCTTGCACCGGACACAGTCGAGCTGCAGCCACATTCCTGCACAACACATGCATGAGTGATAACACCACGACAATCGCACACATGAGCACTCCAACATGTCCAACATGGCAATGCATGCAGCAGCACGGGTCCTAGCAAAGCGAGCGAATGTTGTGACTGCCCAGACCGGCCACATCATCAGCCTAAACACGGAGGGCTTGTGGCCGTTGCTGTGTGCACACATGGGAGTCGCACTTGCCGAAGGCGTCGCCTCAGGAGACAACCCAACATTCATGCCTGGATTTGCTTGGAGGGTGGCATCGGCAGTTCCCGATACAGCCGTATCAGGATGCGAGTGTCCTGCTTGGAGTGTGGCTTCACATGTGGTCGTGTCCTGGCTGCCATGGCCGACGGTCGTTGCATGCACGGCATCCACGCTATCCGCTGCACCCACATCATCGTTTGTGGCGGCTATGCCCGCCTTTGCATCTTTCATCTCTGTCACAACATCTGAAGCGTTTGCTTCGTCCGACGTGGCCGGCGCCGTGGGGTTGCTTGCATCGTCCGTCTCAACCGCATCATTGGCAGTGGTTTTGCTCGCATCTTCAGTCTCCGCCGCCACACATTGCGCAGCGGCACTGCTCACATCTTTCATCGCCTCTACATCTTCCTTTGCTGTCACATCATGTGTGGTGGCTTTGCTTGTGGTTTCCTTGACCATGTCTTCCATTGCATCCACCACCACATCATGCGTGGTGGCTTTGCTCGCGTCTTTTGTCTCCACCAGATCATCCATGGTGGTTCCAGCACTTTGTGTCTGTGTCTCATCCACAAGTGTGGATGCAGAAGCGTTGTTCTGCGCTGGCACACTTGGAGGCGAAGGTGTGTTGAAAAGATGCTGTATTCCTGCTTTCGTCACCAAACCAAATTTCACGGTTGGTGGTGGCTCCTGCGCAGCTGACTTGCTACCTTTGCTCGGTGCTTTCGGCTGTGGTGGTGATGGAGATGCTTTCCGTTTGGCATCTATTCTGGCCGGCTGCTTGCTCTTTGGCGGCGGCGGTGGCGGGGCATGTGGCTGTTTTGCCTTCGGAGTTGGCGATGGCTTAGAGTCGGGCGCCGCCTTGGTACACGCAACACAGCAAGAGTATGTTACATAGCTGCAGAGCGAAATACATGACTTGCTTTTGACACTGACTTAAACAACATGTTGTCTCTGCATCCATAGTTGCAGCTGACGAGGCTTTCCCTCGCCGCTTTGGCGGGTTGCTCTTGGCAGCCGTGTGAGCGGGAGCGACCGGCTGCTTTCGTTTCCGAATCGGTGGTGACGACATCACAAACGCATGTGACAGCTCACTGACAGTACGGGGACGTGTATGCAAGTCGATGCAATGCATAATTGGGCGTTGCCATCTGGTATTATGTGTACACCTTACATATTGAGAAGCATGTTGAATGTGAGCACTGCAGCATCATGCATGCAACACAACCTGATCAGCATGCAAAGACGTGCATCCAGCAATAACGCAGAGGGCATCAAGTCACTCATGAAGGAGTCTACGCTCAAAGTGATCAAACATGACGGGCACACACAACACCGTGGAGATGATTGACCTGAGTCAAGCAGTGTTTGCCCGTGAACAGCCCCATATGTAGACAACAAATCCACATCTGCCAGTGAACGTCACATGTCTGCACACAACACGCATACATTGATATCACACAACTGTCAGGGCATTCAATGTCCACGCAAAGCTAGTGTTTGCGGTCATGCCATGTCCACACATCAGGTACGCGCTACATGTATCCGTGGACATGTCATGTCCACACCCATATACTCGTGGACACCCCATGTCCACACAGCCCGTGGTTGTGGACATTGAATGCCCACGAAACCCATGCAGGTGGACATTGCATGTCCACACCCCAGGTGTCCGTGGACATGCCATGTCCACACCCAGAAAGCCGTGGACATCACATGTCCACACAGCCCGTGCCCGTGGACATTGCATGTCCACAAAAGCCATGCCTGCGGACGTTGCATGTCCACACACCCCATGCCCGTGGACATTGGTGCACGTTAACAACCGTCGTCCGTGGACAACGTCGCGTGCCCACACAGCCCGTCCCGTGGACATTCCATGTCCGCGCCACCCATGCCCGCGGACATCCCAAGTCCGCACCACACCTACCCGTGGACATCCCAAGTCCGCACCACACCTACCCGTGGACATCCCATGACCACAGCCCCGTTGCCCGTGGACATCCCATGTCCACACCCCACCCTGCATGTGGACATTCCATGGCCACACCCCACTCTTCCCGCGGAGATCCAATGACCACACCCCACCATGCCCGTGGGCATCCCATGACCGCAAACTGTTCATGCAGGCATCCCGTGTCCACATCCCGCCTGCCTGTGGACATTCCACTACCACAAAGTAATTGCCCATTAACATCAAGTGTTCATACCAACCGGAAGCCCACCACAGATGTACATCAAACATGTCACACTAGGAATCCTCAGCAAGTGCATCAGCGATACTGGTGTGCCCCTAGCCCCTAAACCCTAACCCTAACACTAGACCCTACAGCCTGAACCCTAAACCCTACACCTTACACCCCCCAAACTTTACACCCTAAACACTAAGCCCTAAACCCTAAACCCCTACACCTTACACCCTGATCCCTAAGCCCTAAGCCCTACACCCTGCACCCTGCACCCTATGCCCCACACCCTAATAAACACTAACCCTAAACCCCAACCCTACCAACAATACACACTGGCTCAGGCTGATCAATCATGAATCATGTGATGCACTCTCAGCTGCCCACACGTGGAAGTCATCTGTCGAGCCTTGGTAGCACACGGATGCAACGCTATACAACAGTGCTTTGATTGTAGAGAGCCACTCATCGTATATGCTTATATGCGCCCACTGCTTGCACTACGTCTGTCTTTTCCCAGGTGCTCGAGATCCCTTGAGACTTCAGATCAAAACAAACTCCACACAGGTGACACGGCTGCTGCGTGCTGCTATGTGCTGATTCCTACCCTACCGCGTCCTGGACTTCCTAGTCCTGGTGTCGTCACTGTCGCC